AACGGGGCTGGTACACCCCTTTTTAGACAACCCGGTGGTCTCCTGTTCCCGGGAGGTCACCATACTGATGCTCAACTTAGTGAGGACACTCAATCAGCATAGCATGCTACAGCCCAGAATTCCTGGACTCAAAGGATCCTTCTTCCTTTGCCTCCCGAGCGTCTGGGAATACAGGCATGTGCCTGGTGAGCCTTTAGAGATTTAAAACCATGCTGTAAGTGACATCAGTGAAAATGGTGGAATAAAGACATCCGAAAATTCGTCCTTTCATAAAAACAACCACTACCAAAAAAATTGTACAAAAATAAACTTGACCAGAATAAACTTTTTCAGAACTCTAGAAATTTAACCAAAGTCTTGCAGTGACCCCAGGAGCATTTATTCAAGAAAAATGTCTGTAAGAAAAGTGAGATTTGTGTTAACTTGCCTTAGACCATTCCTCACTCTCTAGCTCAGTAGTTGCCTTGAAAAACAGCCCACATCCCCAACCAGAGGGAGCAGAATGGAATTGGAGCTGCTTCAAAGCCTTATTCTCAGTTAACTGTCATGATGTCATCTGTCTGGTGGTTCCCTGGAAGACCTCATTTGAAAGATTTGTCTTTATTTGACCAGAATAAAAGATGTCTAGTGCTAAAGCCTCTCCATAGAGGGTGTTTTTGGAAAACAATTACAGTGTCTTAACATGGCAACTATATTAAGCAACGAATAACAGTTTGGGGGAAAAAAGCCTAATCAAAAAGCTTAATAGGAAGAGCTGAGGAAAGATGTCCACGGGAATTTTGAACCAGTCTGATATATCCTTGGGAAACTAGAAGTCCATAAGACGTATTCCTGGCAATTTGGAATGTCGTGCACATGCATAGGGCGGGCTGTCAGCATGGTCAGGAAAGACCTACTAAGTTCTTTCTACTACTTGTGACCTACTACTAACTTCACAAACTCTCACCCCTGGCTGATCTTGAGGTTCTGCACAAGCAAGAAGTGAAAGCTAAGGCATGGCTGTAAACTGTCTGGCTGAGTGCTGAAGGTATGCCCCAACATGTACACAGAGCCCCTTGGCAAAAACTACACTTCTCAGTTTCAAGAATTTAAGTAAATCTCCATTTAATTATTAGCTGATCGGTAAGCTAACCAAGGAGAGATTTCAGTGGGCACACATGATATATAACGCAAGACTTTACCGAAGAAGTTCAGAAAAGTCACTAAATAAATAGCAACTACTAGCACAAGCAGCAGTAACACCAAACCCTGGGAGCAT